TATATATATATATATATATATATATATATATATTTATTTGACTTATAGACTTATAGGGCAGGTGCGCTTTACAACCGAATAACCTATGTGAGCTTCAGCACACTTAAGCCTACATTGCCTAGCCCTGTTAAACATGTCTGGGAGCTGTTGTTAACAGCTACTAGTAGTCTAGAGATTGAAACATAGGGTATCATGCTCAGCTATCTGTATAATACTATAGTGCTGCTCTCTGTATAATACAGATCTGTGTGTATAATATCCTGGAACAGACAGTGCTCCCTGTATAGTACTGTTCTCTGTATAATATAGGTTTGTTTGTGTATAATATCCCAGGACAGTCAGTGCTCCCTGTATAGTGCTACACTGTGTATAATACAGGTCTGTGTGTGTATAATACACTGGGACAGTCAATGATCCCTGCATAGTCCTGTATCTGTATAATACAGGTCTATGTCTGTATAATATCCTTGGATAGTCAGTGCTCCCTGTATAGTGCTGCTCTAGGTATAATTCAAGTCTGTGTACATAATATCTTGGGACAGTCAGTGCTCCCTGAATAGTGCTGCTCTCTGTATAATACAGGTCTCTGTGTATAATATTCTGGTACAGTCAGTGCTCCCTATATAGTGCTGCTCTACGTATAATACAGGTCAGTGTATAATATCCTGGGACAGTCAGTGCTCCCTGTATAGTGTAGATCTCTGTATAATACAGGTCTATGAGTATAATATCCCAGAATAGTCAGTGCTCCCCGTATAGTGTTGCTCTCTGTATAATACAGGTCTGTGTCTGTATAATATCCCAGAATAGTCATTGTCCCCTTATAGTGCTGTTCTCTGTATAGTACAGGTCTGTGTGTATAATATCCTGGGACAGTCAGTGCTATCTGTATAGTGCTGCTCTCTGTATAATACAGGTCTGTGTGTATTATATCCTGGGACAGTCAGTGCTCCTTGAATAGTGCTGTTCTCTGTATAATACAGGTCTGTATAATATCCTGTGACAGTCAGTGGTCCCTGTATAGTGCTGCTCTCTGTATAATATTCTGGGACTGTCAGTGCTCCCTGTATTGTGCTGCTCTTTGTATAATACACGCATAATACCCACTGACTCCAGGAACTAGAAGAATCAAAAGCTGTGGAGTGGTGACTAAAGCCTCAATCTAAGACATTCTAGATGTTTACGTGAATATGTACATATGTTTTTCTTTTGCTCCCATTTCTCTCATTAATTCAATTTTGTAATTTCTCCTTGTATATCTTAAATTTCCTATTTTCAGCTTTTTTTTTTTTAAAAAAAATATATATATATTTACTTCCCAATATAATTATTTTTGTGAACTAATGTATGTTCTATGGTATGGACACAACTCTCTAACTGAAGCACATCTGCACAAGGTATTTTTTATATTTGTACTGACATTGTCACCACTGATACTTAACTTACCTAAAAGTGTTAACATGTACCTGCCTGATATAGATGTGTTACAAGAACCCTACAAACTGTTGCAGAAGTACTCCCTTTTGTTTCCCAATAACCTGTTCTGTATTCAGACTGTGCGAACACATTCCCCGACCAGTTATAACTATTTATTTGTGTATACGAACGATGGACCACCCAGCCCTTGGCGTGTGCCGCCACTTAACCCTGGTCACCTTTGAAAGTACCGAACAGCCGACCACCCCACGAGCAGAGCATGTCGCTAATTGACCGCCGGGAAGTTGCGGTCTGCAGTTAACCACAAGCATAATTGACTATCTCCGGGTGACCTCGTTCGTGTAATAATTCGCCAAACTAAACTCCTGAAAGACTCCCGAATGAGGCCCACCCGCATCCTGGCGTGTGTTCCCAATTAGAACGTTGAAGCTGCGGTTAACCGCAAGTTAAGTACCCCCTTTCATGGCGGTCTCCGTTCGGTTTACGAAGGGATAAGACAACCAGCCTGTGAAGCGGTATTCGCGTAATTGTTCAGCCGTAACTCGTTCCAGGGGTTTTAGGGCCATGTCTTGCTGTCCATCTATCAACCTAAAAACATGGCCGCCATCTCGTATCCAGGACAAAAGACACAAATGGACTTTATATCGAGGAAACTAGCCATATCATTTGTGAGTTCTGAGCGCCATTCGTCCATCTGCTGCGCTCAGAACTGGGCTACATAATGAACGGTGGAATGGGAAATATGTCTGTTAAAGTATTAAAGTTATGTCGTTTTATATGTTGTAATAAAACGTCGGATTTTGGGTGCTTGGAGATAATTACATTGTCCTGACCATTGGACTCATTATCTCCAAGCTGGGCGGTGACAATTTCAAAGTATACCTATATTACTATTGGTCAACTGATCGTATTGTCACTGTATCCCATCAGGTCCAGAGGGGGTTGTCCCTGGACCTGGGGTTTTGCATAAATAGTGATGCCTGTGTGCCATTAACCCCTTAAGCACTGGACTGTTTTTGCAATGTTATACATTTGCGACCAGGCATATTTTTACACTTTTGTGGTGTTTGTGTTTGGCTGTAATTTTCCGCTCTCTCATTTACTGTTCCCATACAAATTATATATTGTTTTTTTCAGGACAAAAGGGGCTTTCTTTACATACCGTTATTTATATAATCTCATGTAATTTAATTTTCAAAAAATGAAAAAAATATGATGACAAATTTAAAAAAATACATGTTTTTTGACTTTTACTTGGAAAATCTTTTACTCATCTACAAAAGCGAATGAAAAAAACTGCTAAATAGATTCAAAATGTTGTACTGAGTTTAAAAATACCCAGTGTTTATGAGCTTTTTTGCTTTTTTTTTGCAAGTTATAGGGCTATAGGTACAAGTAGGATATGGCGGTTTTAAAACAAATATTTTTAAAATGTATCAATAGTGACATTGTAACACTATTATCTGTCATAAATCTCTGAATAACACCCCACATGTACATATTTTTTTTTAAAGTAGACAACCCAGCGTATTCAATATGGGGTAATATGTAAATGACTTATTATTTATATTTTATAATAATATATATATATAGTTATTATATATATTATATATATATACGTGTGTAATTTAATTATAAGTGTATTTTTATATTAATATAAGTACATATTAATATAAAAATACACTTAGTATGGCATTATATATATATGATATATAGACATATATTATATACATATAATATATGTCTATATATCATATATATATATATATATATATATACACATATATATATTTTTTTATTTTTAATTAACATTAACTTTATTTTTTTTAATGATTTTACACTAACAGGGAGACTGCCTGTCATCACAGACAGTCCCCCTGCAGGCAGACACATGGACACCTATTGTGACCATGTGATCACTGTGTTAAGCGATCACATGGCCACAGGGGTCCTAATCCAGTGTGGGGAGACTCCCACACCGGGAGCCACGCTGATCGCCGCCGGGGGAACGACGGCGATCAGGTAAGTAACTAGGACCGTTAGGACGGTTCAGGACCGTCATCGGTCTGCAATGCAAAAATGCCGATGACGGTCCTGAACCGTCCTCGGTCCTTAAGGGGTTAAAGTCTGTTCGTTTTACCCTCAACTCGCAGCCTTGACTCATGTTGTAGGGAACCAGGACGCCTAGCTTTACGATAGCTAGTGAGATAATCTACACTGAAGCAGCGTTCGACTCTCCAACTTCGGGAACCAGGACATCCAAGCGATCCAACCTCCTGCTAGACCGGAGGCAATCGTAATAAGATGCTCTGCTGCGAATGTATCTATTGCATACCAAGGATGCATGGTACTATTGGTGGCAACTTGGTGTTATAAAGGTCTACACAATAAAGAGAGAATTGCAGGGAATTCTGTTGGGAATTTCAAACTTAAGGTCGAAATAGTGCAGCTGAATGGGAGAATTTTTCCAACTCAGCTTCTTTGGCCTTAAGTTTAAAATTACCATCTCAATTACTTGTAATTTTCTCTTTATTGTGTAGACCTTGTAATCTACACTATAAGTAGGTGGAGATGAATAATGTAGGTTGGACATAGTGGGCGGAACTTTGCTGTAGTGGGTGTGGTAAATTTTCAAGGTAATAATTGATAGCTGTGCTTCAAAGTGTCCCTGAAATTTTTTTTAAAATGTAAGTAACTATACATATATTTATATAAATCTTTAAATATAAGCTTTGGCATCAATGCAAAAAAAGGTTAAATTTGGGGCCAAGTGGCTTTAGCATTAAATAATTCTTCATATAATTTATATGTATGGGGGAGAGGAGTTAATAAATAACAACTAGGGGCCCCTGGATGACTCATCTTCCAGAAATAGCCTGGTTAATAATCCACCCTTATCCTTCAAACATGTATAACTGGCAAGTGGATACTATACACTAGGTGTCTGTTATTTTCCCTTTCAACTATAAGGGAGTTTAAGCCTTTTATATTCTGCTATCCCATCAGCTCTCTTAGCTCACCAGGAATACCTAATTCCCTAACATAATGCCCTGCTAATCAATACTGGAAAATGTCAAACCATTGATATAATATGTGACATCCCCCCAAGCAAAGCAATTAATGGACAAAGAATTTGAAACAATATTTATTGTTATTACACTTATGGGACTACGTAATGACAAATTCATTTTTTCAATTAATTATACTTTGCTAATATTTCTTTATAATTCATTAGTTTGGTGTGCAACAAAAGAATAACATACAGGCTGGTATCGCCATCAACAAGCTGTGGTCAATCATTTGCATACAATGTCATGACATGTGAGACAATTACACTTTTTTATGTGTTAGAGAAACAGGCTTCAATATAGATTGTAATGTAAGACTTCAAAAATTACAGGCTAGAGAACCAACGTTAGCAGAAGATTAGATGTGTTGCTGTGTTAGAGTGCAGAGGTACGATGCCTAAGATTTCAGTTGATGAGTTAGCAATAAAACTGACAACTTAGTTATGGGAGACCTAGCTTAAAATAATGAGAGGCTGGTCTTCGGTAGGGCAACCCTCATCCTGTGCCCACAGCTCTATCTCTTCTAGTGGCAACGGAGATCTTGGGTGGGGTATTCTGTGTATGCATTGGGCTGTGGTGTGAGGAACATCCGAGCAGGCGGTCATGGGGACCGGTCCCGGTCTCTGGGTGCCAAGCTTGGGCATCCATTAGCTCCGTCAGGCGCTGGTTTAGTGAGGAAATCCAAGGATGGGTGCGTCTGGCGGCACCCTGAATTGATGTTTCAGTCTTTGCCCAGGACAGACCACGAGGCGGCCATTTTGTGGTGAAGCTGTGGTGAAGCTGTGGTGAAGCTCGGGATACTGAGAGCATGGGAGGTGCAGTGGGATCGGTGATTGGTGGTGTCGGATCCATCCAGTGGGGATAACCCCTGCCAGTCCATAGAGGGGGGAACGGGACCTGTGAGGAGTGTTCCAGTGCTACTGTATGGCTGCTAGAGTTGGAGACAGGGTGGCGGCCGCACATCCAACTCCCCTCCCGAGTAGGCCGCAGTCCCCAAAGTTTCGCGTAGCCTTCAGGGGCCTCAAAACTCCCAATCTTGGGGTCAGCAGTAGCGCCCACAGCTACCTGTTCACTGTGCTGTATTTCTGGCTGCTTTTGGATGCGATGTCCCATGTTTTTCATTCTAAAGAGCCAGATTGTGCAGGAGCCTCTCCCACATGTGACCGGTCAACATGGCGGCCAGGCCCCGCTCCCCCATTGCTAATATTGCTATCTCAAAATTAAGTATATATGAAAAAATAATTCTATGAAATAGATCAAACTGTAACATGTAATCAGAACTGCAATACTGCATCTCTAAAGTACAAGTTTTGCTTCTTTGTAAGGTATAAAAATAACTTTTTTTATTAGCATCTCTTCTAAATTGCTATATTGACTTACAGTTCTTTATAAAATCTATCTGAAAATATCTGTAAAAATGTATCTAAAATAACTAAACTAGATTATTATCAAAATTATAAATTAATTTTACGTGAATGTCAATATATACAAATATACTAATCTAATCTCTCTGTTCTATTTTTACCATACTGTTTGAAATAAAATGAAAGGCAACATTCAATGAGTTATATTCCGTATACACAAGAGGAACTGCAGAAAAAATAATTAATCTATGTAGATATGCTCAGATCCTTTTATGAATGTTCCCTCTCTTTTTTTTTTTTCTTATTTCCTGTTTTCTATATAATCTTCATTTATGTTTACCTTTTAATTCTTTCCTCGTTTATGTCTAAGCTGAGCTCCTTTTCATTCAATCTTCTTTATGTATGCCCTTTTTTTTACCGATATCTTGTGCATATTCTTACAATTTATGCCAACATACTGTCTTTCATGTATATGTATGGACCCTTAAAGTGCCTCTGTCACCATTGGTGACATCTCAGTGGGGGGTCCTGTGGTCTTGGGCATGGAAAGTAGGGGAAAATTACTTACCTTAATCTGTTCCTCAAAGGCACCACAATTGTCTTCCGTCCGTTCCTCTTCAGCTCCTGGTGCTTTAGTAACCAGGAGCCAACAGAATGCCTAAGATTTCAGTGGATGAGTAAGAGCTTTTAGCAATAGCTTTGCTCTCGCTGATAGTAAGACTGTGGGATCCTCCATAGAAAGACAAGGTGATGACTGGGGGAAATACCACCTTGACAAAAGGTAGCTCCCCCATTTTAACAAGCTGGACAAACAAAGGAGAAATACTGAGACAAAATTTTATATTTTTTGTCAAGGATGGAATTTAAAATTCAATATTTATGAAATACTAATGTTTGATGTTGGAATGACAGAGCTGCTTTAATTTTCATTCTTGCCATCATTAGAGAGTTTTAGAACTTTAGAAATTATCTTCAGGTTTGGATATCAATGTTATGTTAATGGTTAAAGTTCAACGTAGGAAGCATAAATAAAAAGGTTCTGAAAAAAATCTGGCTGCCAAAAGGCTTAATCCTAATATGTCTAGATAGCAAGAACAGAGAAAACAAGTACCATGTGCAATTTGTTTTGTTCCAAATGTACATTCGGATGAATTTCGTACAATTGAGACATTCGGATGCTTATGAATGTCCAAATTGCCAAATTGCCGAACCGAATTGTCAAAGGGCTTTGGATTTCTGAAAAGTGGTAAAACAAGAGAGGGAGTGAAAATTATGTGAATAATGACAGGAATCTTAACCAATAAGCTAATTCCTGGCACTGGGAGCCATATAGATGTGTAAGTGGTTGTAGTGGCAGCCCGGGCACTGGGAACCCTATAGATGTGCAAGTGGTTGTGGTGGTTAGGGTTAGGGCTTAGCTTAGAGGTTAGTGGTTGTGAGGGTTAGGGAGCCCTACATATGTGTAAGTGGTTGTAGTGGCAAAGTGCTTCAGATTTCTGAAAAGTGGCAAAACAAGAAAGGAATGCTTACAAATGTCCAAATTGCCTAAGTTTTGAACTGCCGAAGTCCCGAATTGCCGAAGTGCTGAACCAAATGCCATTGGTCCAAATTGCCGAAGCAGACAAATGTTTTTACTTAAATTTTTACTTAAGAATGAGAGTGGTCTCACCTCGTATTGTTCTGATCCCAAATTAGAAAGATGGACTTAAATTATAAAATAATAAATTTCTAGTAGATAGACCTAAAAATGTGAAGTATGATATATGCAAAATAAATACTTATCGCTGCCTTGCTACTCCCTACTAGTGATGTCCCGAACTGTTCGCTGAACGGTTCGCTGCGAACGGTTCGCGCGGACTCCAGTCAGCAGACACATTCCAGCCAATCAGCAGCAGACCCTCCCTTCCAGACCCTCCTGGACAGCTCACTAAGAATGCAGCTTCAAAATGGATGCTGTCCAGGAGGTGGGAGGGTCTGGGAGGGAGGGTCTGCTGCTGATTGGCTGGAATGTGTCAGCTGACTGGAGTCCGTGGCGAACCGTTCGCGAACCGTTCAGCGAACAGTTCGGGACATCACTACTCCCTACATCTAATTTCAACTCAAGGGAAATCATAAAAAGGTTAAGTGATAAAAGGCTCTTTTTGTTTTTTGGCCAATTGTATTACCCAAAATATGCATATAGATATGGGTTCCTAGATTGAGAATAGTGCCCACAGATGTTTACAGGGGGCGACATGACTCATCAACAATAGATTATAGGGAATAATGGTAGCATTATACAAAAAGGAAAAGGGGGTAAAGTAAAAGTGAAAATGGTAATATGAGTCTCTGTATTTAGTGCAGAGTTAGATAATCACTATAATATATTATGATAATATACACATATTAACCCCTTAAGGACCAAACTTCTGAAATATAAGGGAATCATGACATGTCAGACATGTCATGTGTCCTTAAGGGGTTAATATACTGTTATTTATACATTTATAGCAACTAAAACTTGGAGTCAACTAAGACTTGGAGTCAAGTAAAAAAAAGTGCATGTTTGGAAATGTACAGAGGAATAAGTAAATCTCTATGCAGATGGAGATGAGAAAAGAGAAAAAGTAAATCCCCAGGTAGATGGAAAAAAGAAAAAGAGTGCAAAAACACTATCAGCCTGTATACCAGCCCTCTTTTGTTAAAAAAAAATATATATAATTACCATCAGAAGTTGTTTTTTTCTTAGACCCCAAATAAGGACAAATAAAAATCCATCAAACATAATGCAACAGGTCAGCTTCCTAGCTCCTATCAGAGACCCTGGAATGATTCAGCACAAATTACCAAAGCTGCAGCTCTCTCCTTCCAGGCAGGTATCAACCCCTCATCCTTTTCTTCTTTAGCTACTGCCTTTACAAAGCCATCTGTGATTTTCAGGTTTAGCTCTTTTTAACTTTGCTTAGGTATCAGGGACTTAAGCAGTCAGCCAAAAGGTCCAAAGACTCGGTTACTGGGATCCCTGAATAAACCAACCAATACACACAGTTCCCAATGAAACTAACACACATAGTTTTATTTTATCTCAGGACTAGCCTATAATTACATTACATTAAACTTATGGTGTCAAAGTCAATCTAATACAAATGATATGAGAACATGTACAAGAACTCATAATACAATACAATGACATATTTATAATGGGGTTGGGAAGACAATAACTAACAAGAAATATCTCCCCTGTCTGCAGAATTCAGAATGTGCAAGTCTACCTGAATATGCACATTAATAAGAATTGCTATTCAGGTAGTGCATAGCTGTTTCAAAATATTCACAACCAACAGATGAAACTATACAGACTCCACAGCCAAATGCAACTAGTTGGTTAAAAGCATCAGTAGGACAGGAAAGCACACAAAACATTTAACAATAAAGAAATTACAGTGTTCACACCCTGCACCTATTATGGGCATATGTCATCCAGGGACCTACTTTAAGTGTCCATCTTTTGCTCTCAGTGATGGTGACTACTGTCACAAAAAGATTTGGGGAAAAAAAACAGCATTAACATTCAAAACATGGACACAATAAAATTAATCAATTTTCACCCTGTGAAGGCTCACCTCAGACTGAGGTCTCATAGTGGAGAAAGCCCTTATAAAAGGAGGTTTGTACATTCTCTGGTGAAAACACCTCCCTGTAGTGCCACTTTTGAGGTTAAGCCTGGGCAATATAAAATGTGTTGCTTTTTGAACACAAATTAATAAAATGTCCCTATTCCCACAGCCTTCCTCTCCAGTTCCAAAGTTTCATTACCAAGAACTAAATCCCTATAACATGACACTCTATCATACTACCACTCTCTAGCTCCAATGTTCCACTCTCCAGTCTCAGAGTTCTGCTTCCCATCCCAACCAAGTGTCCTCTCAACAGCCCCCAAGCATCGCCCCAAATTTTCACTCCTCAGCCCTAATTGTTCACTGCGCTGTCCATATCCTCCTCGAGAGTTTAGTGAGGGAGGGAGGAGGCAGGGTTATGACAACTTATAACCATATACTTGATCTACATTGCTGAGTGCTAAAAAATAAATCAAGCCTGCTGTAAATGCTGTTGTTAGTAGCTAGTGAAAATAAGTTTGAAAAATGCATACTGAAGGACTTTGGGAATGCCCTGGTAGGCTGCTATTCAGTATGCCAGTCTGCGATTCAGGTTTCCACCAGTTGTAAGAGGAGTGTATATCTGGGATGAACCAGTATCTGTTGGACAAAGAGGGAAGCAACATTAATGGAGCACTATAGCGTTAGAAATACAAACATGTATTCCTAACACTACAGTGCTATTTAGGACCCCACTCTGTTCACTGTGGAGATAAAAAGTCCAGCACTGAACTAGGAAGCACTTCTAGTGGTCATTTAAGTAATTGCTACTAGTAATGTTGCTAGGCAGCAATGCAATCACTGCCTTTTCTTTCCTGGCTTTGTACCTCATTTGTCTGATTTCTGGCTTCCCTGGACTTTGGCTTCTCTGTGACCTCCCTGTTCTGTTATACTCATTAAGCCAGATCACACTAAGGCCCAGTATATGTGCATTCTTCCTCTTGGTCTATACGCTGCATGTTGGGTTTATTTACATACTGTGACATTACAATAGGGCCATGGACCCTGCAGGTGTAAATCCACAATATGAGGCACATATTGATGATCTTGATCATAGGAGGAATTAGTTTGTCCAGACTTTATAGGAGGGATCCCTTCTTGAATTAGCTTAGCA